GATTAAGAACCTAGGGTTTATCTAAAAGGTAGGTTGGTGTGTATCAACACAAGAGTCCACCATGAGCTCAACCTCTTCATGGAATGCACAGGGTACTTCCTATGAAAGACCAGGCTCTCATGAGAGGGATCCTATGTCACTAGGACAAAGAAATTGAAAGGTTTGATTATGGGAAGCATGGTGAAAACCTAAGGAAATCACCATGGCACTCAACCAAATTCACCTTGATTAGGAGTAGTCCTTAATGGCTCTCCTCTTTATGGAATGCACAGGGTACTTCCTATGAAAGAACAAGCTCTCACAAGAGGGATCTCATGATAGGGACTAGGAGATATTGGAATGACTTGAATTTCCCAAGGCAAAAGGAAGCACAAAGAGGAAACGAATCAACCGCAAAAGCCTCTAAGAAACCCTAATTGTTAAGCTCTAAAGGAAGTCCATCCTAAGGGAGCTATGAACATTATCAAGCATTTAAAATTATCCTACAAAGGTGTCAACCTATACACTATACTACCAAGAAGGATTTGGGGCCTAGAGTTGGCTAAAGATCACTTTTGAAGCCAAATTATGTGAATTGCTAAGTTGGGAACACCCTAAAAACAACCATCATGTAAAATCTAAGAAAAATAGGAAATCATCCCTAAAAAATATGATAAAAATCCTAGGGGATCCTAAGGATGTTAGTAACCTATGGTAAACATTTCAGATCCAAAATCTAAGTTTAAGGGCACTAACCTAATGTTAAACCTAAAGGTATGCTAGGGAAAGCTCAAATTGGGAAGGGTCTAAAGATCTGATTCAAACCTATATCAAAAGGTATCTAAAAAATCATAAGAAAATTCCTACAAGTCATTCAAAGGGTGCAAGATAACCTCAAGAAAAATTAGACATTTCTAAGTTGTTTTTATGCCTCAAAGAAATTCCAAAATAAAATAGTGCACAATTCACATTTTTAATGACCATTAAAAATAGAAAAATCATATTAAATTGGAAAATAAACTTAAAATTATTCTACCAATTTATGAAATCATCCAACATGCCCAGGTTTATTATGTAAAAAAATCAAGCAATTATGAGCATTTTTACTATTTTTAACAATTAAAAACAAACAAGCTACAAAATAAAAGAAATAGGAAAAAGAATGAAAAATAAACAAACTGCGTGGCAAATAGCAATCCAAATCAGTTGTAAACCCAATGGGCCAGAAAAAAGGGGGTGGGGATAATGAAGCCCACTTCTGATTTTTAAGTGAAACATGTGATTATGTGTGGTGAGTCAAAGTTGGTGTACGGTAGGTCTTAATCTGGAGCGTTAATGCAAAAGTATGCTGATCCAACACATGAGAAGCTGCCACATCTTCATCTTCTCTAATTTGAACATGGAATGAGGGGGAAAAACGCAGCACAGCCGTGTACGGTGGCTGGAGGCGCTCCCTTCATCTTTTCCATCAAGACCGAAACCTCAGCTTCTTTGTTTCTTCACCAAAACTCATGATTCTTGAACCGAACTTTACTATTTTTTCACGTAGAATCCAAATATGTCATTTGTTTTCATTTTTATCCGTTAAATCTCCAAAACCGTGATCATCCATGGAACTTTCAAGAACTCACAACTTTCACAACAACTCTCCAATTCATACCATACCAGAATCAATCTACAATGTATGGGGGTTCTAATGGTACAAAAATGGTGTGATAAAGATGCCTAAATCATGTGCAATCTTGAAATTAAATTACCTCTGAAAATGCTTATGGTGAACCTTCAAATAGCCACCAAACCTTCACTTTCTTTGCCCAGAATCACTCTATGAATGTTGTAGAAGCTTTTTGAATACTTGAACTGGCTTGAAATGGTGTAGAACTCAAAACTCGAAAATCACTTTTGCTCCACCTTTTCTAACCGTTTGTAACTGAATTATACATAAAAATTCATCAATCTTGATCTGAAAACGATCTACAACTTATATAGAATGTGTTTGTAATCAATTGGGGCCCAAAATGGTTGATTTGGCCCAATCAAGTTTTCACTTTTTCTCACTTTTTCACCTTGCAATGTCCATGAAACTGGCTTCAAGAAGCTTCCAAATTGTTCCATTTTGCTTGCTGGTAGTGTAAGGAACATGGAGGGCTTGGATTGTGTCCTTGATTTCAATCAATGGTGGATGTGGAAAGTGTTTCTTCAAACTTAAGAAACAAGTGTAAAGTCCATGTAAATGACCTCAATTCTCAAATCTACCAATGCCAATGTTCTTATAATGATAAATGCACTCAAAAAATTCATAAACATGCTTTGGAATCATCCCATATGAATTTATTTGAATTTTTTATTTTTTAATGCCTTTAAAGTTCTTTTTGTGAAATTTTCTTCAACCAACCTTCAATATAATCCATATCAATGAAACCTTGGTGTTTTATTGAGTAAATAACCCCATTTTGAGCAACTTTCAAGTTAGAAAAATTTGCATTTGAGGTATGCAAAGTGGTGAAATGGACCTATAATGAAATATGACCTATAATCCAAGTTTCCCAAAATACCCTTGCCTTGCAAGCTTCATATCTTGAGTTCTACAAATCCAATCATGGACTTATAAGACTTTTTGGAAATCTAAGAAGATAAGGAACAACATTTATGTTTGGGTCAAGGATAGGTGAGACCTCATTCTAGATCAAAAGTGGCATGGAATTTGGTTGACTTTCAAGTACCAAATTCACATTCATCTGATGACCTGTAACTTGTCTGCCTCATAACTTGAGTTCTATAAATCCTATCAAGGACTTCTAGTACTAAAATTAAAGCTATGATCATGCCCTATAACAATCATGTTGGGGCCAAGATGAGTGGAAAATCTCATCTTGAGTTATATGGTCTTGAAGTTAGGCACTAAACTAGGGGATTTTACATTGTCAAGCTTAGAAACCCTAGCTTAGGAACTTCTCACACTCTTGATTCATGATGAGTTGACCTTGGAATAATCCTTTGGGTATCTCAATATATCAATCCATGATCACATGGCCTTGAAATTAGGTCTCAACCTTCTTCAAATCAACTGTTGACCTAGGGTTGACCAGATGAAAACCCTAGTTGCACCAATCTTGGTTGTAACTCTTGTATCTTACGTAATGACTTGTCCAAGCTCCATAATGACTATCAAGACATCATATGAACTTTCTCAGTGCCTTAGGTCCATATCAATGGATTCAACATCATCAAATGATTTCCCATAACCTTCAAGTTAGGAAGTATGCACACTTGTCTTCAGCCACTCTTCTGAGGATCTTTGACTTCTTTGATGAGGATATCAACCCTTGAATATTTGAGAGAAGAATCTTAAAGAGCTTCATAACCTTGTGTAGCCTCTTATTGATAGGTGAACTCCATGATCCCTGCACACATATCAATGCAATGCTTATGCTAATGCTAGGATGAATGCAATGAAACACAAGTTAGGTAAGAAAAAGGTTAGGCAAATTTTGGGGTGCAACAATTGCGCACTGACAAATAAAAACAACTTGAATTAAAATATTTATATCTCTCCCTTCCATAATGTAAAGGACATATGATCGACATAACAAGTGAGCGAGGTAGGGTCAAGGGCACTCCAGGGAACTCCATGATGTCATTGTCTCGCCTTCCACTTCTTCGCTCGTGGAGACTCCACCTCACAATGTTGCACCCTCGTATCACAGATGATAGGGAAATGATCGTATATCCAACATTGATATCAAAGTAGAGACATAACAAGTAATAAATAAAAAATTTATTAGTAAAAAATAAATACGAAAACAACAAATAATAATTTCAAGTATACTTGTAACAGACTCAAATAGCCAACAAGTTGTTTGGTCTCAAAGACTGTCGCCACTTTAAGAGTTGTATACAACTAGGTCAATACAGCACACCCTCAAGTCCAACTGGTGTCCTTGAGGCTACTGAATAGGTACAAGTATCAGACACCAATATAAGTATCAGACTTTTCTGCAAAGACCGGTCGATGGGTCCTTCTGAGAATCCTGCATCCGTGTGCAAAGAGGACTCAATCATAGGAACTGTAACCTCCGTGTCAGTAGTAACCGATGGGTCTGACTCACCAACAACAGCATCTGGCTGTACCACCCGAGCAACCTCCTCTGGACCAATGTCCTCAATAACCTCCTAAGCAACTGGATCAACCACCAACTCAAACACTGGCTCGCTAACGAGATCAGATACAGGAACATCTGGAAGCACCTCATTTGTAGTCCACTCTAATGATCAAACTGGTCGGCGTCGAGTTAAACGAGGTGCCTGAAAATGACCTCGCTCAGCCAACCGCTTCTGATATGAACCAGTTGGGGTCACTCGTCCTGCCCGTAGCTGGGAAGACTCAACATTAGCACCATTGTCAGCCCTACCCTGGTATGTTGGTCGATCAACAGCTCTCCTTACGAAAAATTTGAAATTTTCGCTAAAAAAATATAGATTATGTATGAGTTTTTAAAATTTTCGTTAAACATTTTGAGTTCTGTACCAAAATTTTTAAAATTTTTGATAAAAAATATAAGGAATTATGAAGTTTCAAATATAAAATATCAGAAATTTCAAATTTTCGAATAGAAAATACATTAAATTATATAATGTCTATGAAAAAACTTACTATTTTCTAAATTTTCGATAATTCATTTGAAATTTTGAATATTATCCTAAGAATTTGAAACTTTCCTTCCAACACTGTAAATTATAAAAAATTTATTAAAAAAAAAAACTTCAAGATAGTTTGGTCTTTTCATACACATTGAGGGGTGAGGTATAAATGAGTAGTAGTTAATTTCTCTTAGATTCCTTAAAAAGAAACCCATACATATTATTGAGTAAAGCCCATAATCACAACAGAAGTCTCTGGAAAGCTCCACACTTTTAGAGATAGAGAAGAATTTATTCCACAGATAAAAAAAAACATAGAGATAAGAGAACAACCTTAACAAGTGTGAGAGAAAAAACGCCAAGACTAATTAACATTAACAATGTTTTTCTTTTTTGCAGGAGGGTTAGAACAACAAGTCCGACAGGTGGTGAAATCCGGTGTGGGAAAGTGCATCAACTGCGGTTCACGCGCTGATCTTGTTGAATACGACAAAGTTCTGAAGCTATTTTTCGTTCCCGTTTGGCGGTGGCCCGGGAAGGACAATCTCTTGTATTGCCAAGACTGCAAGTTTTTGTTTCCGCAATCTTATTCTCTTCCTCCGCCGTCGAACGGTGGTTCTACGTTGCCGGACGCCTTGAAATGTCGGTACTGTGATCGGAAAGTGGGGGCTGATTTCACGTTTTGTCCTTACTGTGGTACTCAACTGTAAACTGGAAACAAATAAAGGGTCTCAGTGTTTGATTGGTGTTTGTTGAATGGTTTAGAAAATAGGATGGTGTTATATTTTATATTAAGTTTGAGATGTAGAAAATTAATAATCGTGTTACATGTTAATTTTGATCCTCACATTATGAAATAAACTAGTATGTATGAATATGGGAATGGAATCATTGCATCATGTTTTTGTTTAAGCTAATTTCACGTTTTGTATTTGCCTAAAGTTTAGTACCAACATTATCCGTCATTTGATTAGATTGGTTCATTTGGAGGTTAAGGGATATGTGTGAAAATTTTCTCTCAAAAGCAAGGTAACATCCTTGATCAGAGAATGGAAGGAGTTAAAATTATGGTTTGGTGCTGGCTAAGTGCTAAGATAAAAGGTTTTAATTTTCATGGAAAGTAGTAATGGAATGCCAAGTCCAACTGGTTAGTGGCAGCAAGGAACACCCGACTATGACAGTAATTGCACTAATGCATTGTAATAATGCTGTTTTCAAATAAAGAAGTTTCATGTGTTAATTTGAAAAGAAAAAAAAACTCAAGATTGTAACTGAAACCAGTCAAGAATTTTTAATTAACATTGTACCAAAATATTGACATACAACAATCCCTTTATTCAAGGGCGTGGTTATACCACCACCAACTAAGATGGTGAACCATAAAATGGACTGTACACAAGAAAAACTGTCAAGACTCAAAGCTTACAACCTTATCAATCTACAAAGGAACAGCCTCTTATATCAATACAACATTCCCGGGTAGCCAGCCTCACTAGGTTGATGCAAAGCCATGAATTTCTAATGCAAGGTTGTCCAAGAGTTTTGACAAAAAAGAAGAAAAAAAGATCCTTATTTGGATCCAAGAAGCATAACTAAGTGAGACAAAATGCAGTGTTTGGTTTCTGTATATTAAGTATTATACGTGTTGAAAGGTAGTTGCTTTTCTCCTTTTTCCAATGCATCCCTCCAAAGCCTGTACCTTACTCCAAGCTTGTCATAGGTAACTGGCACATTCCATACATTTGCACCATTATTCATTCTATCCTGTTGCCCCAATACGAGCCGTAGATCCTCGTTTAGCACCTTTAGTATCAAAAAACAACATTAGAAAGTTGAAGTTAATTTCGAGAGTCATTCTACCACAGGGAGGAAAAGATCTATACCTGTTCTGCAAAATGCCTCCATAGATGTTCCATAAAGGGTACATGCTTAAGGAGTGGAGCGAAATCGAGCGACATTCTATATAGTAATCTTGTTTTATTTTTTGAAGAAGGTAAGCAGACATGAAGTTGGTGAAGGTGTGTTGCGCATTCCTTGGTGCTTTGTCCTTCCAGTTTACCGGGTTTTGAAATTCCAATGGTTGATAGAACCATACAAGGCGGTCGAAACTCCATATCGATGGGATAGGGATCCCAATATCCTTGCAGGCCAGACGCAGGTGTCAAAAAATTCACAAAGCTGCAAATTCAAATTCACACAGAGATTAAGCCGCTAAGAGTTTGTTATAACAAATTAACTATTTTGAAGATCTTACATCACTTTAGTTTTCACAAACCTTGGTACACTCCATCCCTTAGCAAATGTTGAAGTATGAGTAAAAGGGGCGTGCGCAAGATCCAAGAGGTTGTCCAAAAGTAAACCATGTTCAACCGGAAGTTCCATGACAATCTGTTTTGTGCAAAAACTCCCGAGTGAGAAAACCTTATCTTCTTTTTGCTTTATTAATTGTAAACCATAGTTCTTGCATAGCTCAGATGTCCTATTAGGATAGACTATATTTATTACATACCTCGGCATGGATTACGAACCCGGAAGGAGGTAGTAAAGACGGAAGTGAGACCGTTGGGGGATCATTGCCGGGCCAAATCCAGATCATCCCTTCTTTCTCAAAGCATGGAATTGACTTTATCTTAACATTTAGCATTTTAGTTGATGGCATTTTCTCGCATTTTCCGTCAGTCGAATATTCCCAGCCTGATATCCAACCATAAGGTAATTTTAGAGTCTATCTCAGAAAAATAAATCTGTTTGTACTGTCATGCAAGTCATTACTATGATATAGTAACCATGCTACCGAAGCAAAAAATGTTTCAACATATTTGTTCCGATGAATACTAACCATGGTAAGGGCATTGGATACGACCCTCGTTTACTGAACCGAGGTGCAAGGGACATGCTCTGTGTGCACATGTATTCTGGACACATCCAGGTTTGCCATCTTTGCCCCTAAAGATAACCCATGGTTCCTCAAAGCATTCCATTGGAACCTGAAATAGAGAAAGAGTAACAAACATATGAGAATTTACATTCAGATTAGGCTGATTTTATAAGTTTAAGTCAGTCATAAAAAACATACTAAAAGCTTTTTTTTAATAAAAGGACTTATACCAACTTACCATAGTATCATCCTTTAAGTCATTAGAGAATGCAACAGGATACCAGAAATTCTTTAAATTAGGATGGTATGACTGAACAGGACCTGAAACATTTAAGCTTTTCTTCGGCTTCCTTCTTCTTTCCGTATGTACGGATTTTGCAGAAGTACTCGGAGAAGAGGATGTCTCAGCAACTTCATCCGTGCTTCGTTCTTGCACTTGCACTTGCAATAGCCTATCACTTACCAATTCTTCCATGTAAGCTAGTTTATCTAAAGCAGTGGAAACTCTTGCTTCGGATATATGAACCTGCAGTAATTCATTATCTTACATTATAGTCACAGAGAAATTCAAATTCGAAGTTTTTCTGTGGCTCATCGGGTGCTACTTTTAGTTATTTATTTACCTGTCTGTGTGCATCTGCTAACTCATCCTGCAACCCAGCTAGATCCTTTTTCATGGTGTCAATCGATTTGAATTCACGAGCTAGAGGGTTAAGAACTTCAACCACCTACACCAACGTTTTGATTGTATAAATAAATAAACACATTGTGGAAAGTATTGCGTCTCGTGTTTAATAGAAATTAGCTGAAACCTTTTCGTGGAGGAGCATGATGGTAAGCACGTCTTGCCGAGCTCGCCAATCACAGTAGTGAATATCCTGCCTAGCCACTTCTAAAGCTTGATATACATCCAAAATTTTCCCTTTACTTTGTGGTACTCTAGACCTTGGATCCTCTACATCAAAGATTGCGCCCCATGTACTTTTTTTGTCTGCTTCTCCGAACACAGCAAACACTCTAAATTTACCTTTCAAACCCTAAAAATCGACATGCCCAAAAAAGTATAAGCTATAAAGTTAGAGACCATACTTTTTCATCCATGGAAGGGAGTGAAAATGTAGACCTACAAAAGGCGAATCTTGCTTGTTGCTATACTAATAAATAACTGCTCATAGCTATAGTACGTTTAATTTAACTGTTGTAACCCGTTGTGTTATTTCAACATCAAAACACAAACACTCATGTGATACCATATGTATTTATCTCTATCTTTCACTTACTTTCTCTCTAATTTAACTTGCACACGTTGGAAAAATACACTCAAAAACTAAAATACACCAAAATTGGCATCAAAATTCTAATATCTAAAAATCATTTCTTAAATCAAGTGACGGAAGAGGTACATACTAATGAAAAACCTGAAAGAAACAATGTATACTAATGCCAAAACACAAACCACACCTCCGATTTTCATGTTTACCAAAATTCGAGGTTGCAACCAATTCAACTGGAATAGATACCTAGACTAGTTAACATCCGTTTCAACTACAATTTTAAGTCTGGATGAATATGTGTACTAGTGTAATAATAACTCAAATATCTCTTACCTTAGAAGTTCATGATGCAAAATTATCATCATGTGCAAAAGAAACTTGTATTAAGATCAACAAAAAAGAGAGGCGGCGTACCCTTTTGGAGTCAAGCTTGGACGTTCTACAAAAGATTGGAAGAGATAAAGCAGAAGCAGTAGCTATAGCATTCATGGCTGTGAAAGTGAGAAGGAAAGAGAAACGAAAAGAAACATAAACGAGTTAGTTTGATGATATTTTGTTGATAAGAGGTTGGTGTTCTTCGCGATCTCGGTTTACCTTCTAAAATACGCCACGTGGAAGAACGTGGACTCTGTTGATTTACACGTGGAGGTTATTATTTCCACACGATTGTTTTGAACTTGTGGGACCTACTGTGTTGCCAGCTTGGATTTGGATGATATCTTCTCTATCCTCTCCGCGCTGTGTCTCTTGTCGTTTTTTGTGTGGGTTTTGATTGGGTGATTTCGGAAAATGAAATTCGTGTTAATTGGGAATTGGTTGGTCTGATTTGCCTTAGTCAAATTAAAAGAAGTCCTTGAAATAGAATTTCTTTGCCTGCTTGATTTGAAATGGAGTTTCCAAGATCGGGTAGAACTTTAGAACATTATCTAGAGATATTTTAGGATTTATTAACTAGGCGTATAAATTTTTTTTACACGCTGATTATCTTCCTACGTCTTATGACATAAAACCGTAACTTTTAAGTTAATTGTATAATATAATATATTAATATATTTTTATTAAATAATAATATAAAATTATATTATATTTAATGTATACTAATTAAACTCTATTTTTAATGTAAGAATAATTAATTTTTACAAATTTTACTTTTAATAAATATTATTTATATAAATTTTAAGATATTACATAGCACTATGTTTGACAATTTTGTAAATAGATATATTTAATTATGTAATCATTATTTTTCTTAATCATTAAAGACTTTTATTTTGAAATGGAGCAAATACTTTATAATAAAAGATATAGAAAGATATTATATTATTATTATTATTTAATCTCTAAATTATTATTATTATTATTAATAATAATAATAATAATAATAATAATAATAATAATAATAATAATAATAATAATAATAATAATAATAATAATAATAATAATAATAATAATAATGTATCAAACTTAATAAAACACGCTTGAAATTATTTGTGTTTTGAATCTGAAAGGGAATGAATTTTTTTAATATTTTTATGTTTAAATCTCTTTAACGTCATTAATTTTTCTCAACATCTTCTCAACACACACAACATTTATCACGGTCTATTTTGTGTCTTATCTGTAAACCCTAGAAAAATCCTAAAACCTCATCAATGGTATCCTCTTCAACCATTCTCCTAGATGTTAATTCTATGAACAAACTTAAAATCAAACCTATGACTATTTTCGCTTGACAAAGATGAATTAAAGCTTCTCATTGAATAAGTGGTAGATTTCAAGAGTTTTGCTACAAATAATTGCTTTCTAGAAAGTCATTTTGTGCTCCAAGGATGGATGAACTTCTTTGATATGCTAAATGGATCAACCTATCCATATCTCGTAAAAGATTTGTGGGTTAGAGCAGAAGTTTATAATGAGTACTCAACACAAAATGAAGAAAGAATCATCATGGAAAAGACAACAGTTTAAAAGAGAAATCAAGAGCAAAAATGAGTTTGAAGGAATTTAAATGTGTGGAAATAAGATCTGATGTAATGAGTTTGGATATAACCATAACTCAAGAAAATGTTGCTCAGATAATCAGAGCTGAAAATAAAGGAATGATGATACTATTTTTTTCTCTTAATTTTGATAATGCCAAAAGCAGTAACATTTTGTGTGTGTGGATATCTCTTTAAAATTGCAGGATTTCAAAAATGATTCATAAAGGGAAAGTCATATGATTTAGGGGGGGGGGGGGGGGGGGGGATTTCATCCTTGAACAAAAACTCAATCTCAATTGTTTGTCATTATAAAAAAGGAGGATATTGTGAAGAAATACTTCTCCATACAACTTTGATTTGATGAAGACAATGCATATCAAAGAAGAATAAAAAGAAGCTTAAGTTTCATATGAGTATTCAAGGCATTTAGTTAAAATGATCAATGGAAATTAAGTTGTAAGATAAATTCAAGGTATCCTTTACAATTCAATCTATGATACCTTTAAGAATGCTCAGAAAAACCTTTTCTACTTCATCTTGATTCTCTCATATACATATCTCTTGAAAACATTTTAAGAACTACATTTTCCATACATTAAAACAAATATTTTTTTAAAGAAGTCACAACAATAATCAATTACTACTTTTTGGTAATTGATTACCAGGTTCGAATTTTCAAAAAACAGAGGTGTTAGAACTTGATAATTGATTACTACTTATTGGAAATCGATTACCACGCAAAATGTTGCATCTTTTCATTAACCCATAAGTTTGGTTTGGATTAGAAAGCTTCATGAAACTTCTCCTTTCATATACACCTTTTTGTAAGGGTGTTATAACATGTATATAAGGATTTCTAGTCAAATTTAAAAACTTCACCTCTTCCATTCAAATTCTTACATCAATTCAAACTTTTCATACTTAAACTTTTTTACATAATTTTATATCAATTGTAAAAAGTTTCTGAGCAATCTAATAGTATTATATTTGAATTGTTCTTTCAAAAGGAAGATCAAATTTTGCATAGGAATTCATTCAAGTGCAACAACGTATTTTAAATAGTATCTTAAAATTTTATTTTGATCATCAAGTGTTAGTGATCCTTGATGGAAATTGAAAGTGATGTGCTTTTTTGTTTATGTTATAAAAGTGTATGAATGACCTTGTTGTGAAATTTGTACAAATTCTAACATAATGAAATCTCTTAGGGTGTGTGAGGGAACTAGACGTACCATTGATTGGAAAGAAGAACAAATATACATTGTTCTGTTCTTTATTTTTCTGCATTTAAAATTATGCATTTTACTACATATATTTATCGAAGTATTTTTAGAAAAATAAGAACACAAGAACCTTCTTTTAAAATGAGAAAAATCTAGTACATCTAATTCACCTTCCCCCTTCTCAAATTACATTCTATATTTACACTTAGTGACCCTGTCAAAATTAACAAACGAAATGCCAAGCTCAAAAACTGTGTTTATTATTAATTCAGATGTAGCAATATATACTACACCAGTTACAAAATAACTGCCTCCTAAATACTTGGTCCTCGCTGCTACTAACATGCTAACAACCTTGACTTGGCAAATGCACTAACTGACAGTAAAACAAAGACTTAAAAATCAGACTGACTCAACATAAATTATAAATAAATAAATATAAACCTAACAAATTCTCCCCTAAACTCAACATATTTAAGTTGAATTTAAACACCAGAAGCATCCAAGGTCTTCTCATTCTTCATGACTCCAAGATGTGCTCTTAGTCGTTCAAACACTTCAAGCCCCACGGCCTTGGTCATAATGTCCGCTATCTGCACCTTGGTACCACAGTACTCGAGCTCTACAACTCCATCTCTGACCAAATCCCTAAGAAAATGGAAACGAACATCGATATGCTTGCTCCGTCCATGTAGCACGGGATTTTTTGACAGTTTAATGGTAGATTTGTTGTCACATAACACAGTGGTTGCTCCTACAACACTTTCGGTCCATCCCATCTTCTCTAGAATTCGTTTCAGCCATATACACTGTGTTGCACATGAAGCAGCTGCAACAAATTCAGCTTTGGTTGTTAATAAAGTCACGACCGGTTGCTTCTTGGACGCCCATGAGATTGCTCCTCCCGCCAAGAAGAACACATAGCCGTCGGTACTCTTCCTATCATCCGTATCCCCGGCAAAGTCACTGTCAGTGTATCCTATTAGGCGCTTCCCCTGTCCCTTTCTGAGTTACTTTATACCGAACTCTGCAGTTCCCTTTAAATATCTTAGCACACATTTTGCAGCCATCATGTGTAGCTTCGTAGGTTTCGTCATATACCTGCTTAGAAGACACACTACAAACATGATGTCCGGTCTGGTCACAGTGAGGAATAATAAACTTCCTATCAGCTGTTTGTATTGTGTTTCATCCACAAGCACTCCATCTCCCTCAATACTTAGTTTTGTCCCTGGCACAATAGGATTTCTCACCGGATTACTGTCCAACATTCCAAACTTGTCGAGAAGTTCATTCGTGTACTTCCTTTGACAGATGAAAACCCCTTGATCACTTTGGTTGACTTCTACACCCAAAAAATACATCATTTGGCCTAAGTCGGTCATTTCAAACTTAGACTGCATTGATGCCTTAAATTCCTTCACAAGTTTCTCACTGCTACTTGTGAGCATGATATCGTCCATATACAGACTCACAAGGAGTACATCAGATTCATGAGCATAGATGAACAAAGTATGTTCATATGGGCACTTGGTGAAGCCTTCACTCAAGAAATAGTTTTCTATTTTGCTAAACCAAGCTCTTGGCGCTTGCTTCAAGCCATATAGAGCTTTCTTGAGCCTATACACTTTATGTTCCTCTCCTTTAACCATGAAACCAGGAGGTTGCACAACAAATACTTCCTCGGAGAGATCCCCATGAAGGAAGGTGCTTTTCACATCAAGCTGATGAATTTCCCATCCATAGTGTCCAGCAAGAGCCAATAGTGATCTGATCGTATCCCACTTGGCTACCGGCGCAAAAACTTCATTATAATCTATACCGTGTTTTTTAGCATAACCCTTCACCACAAGTCGAGCTTTATACTTATCCACTTTGCCATGCTCATTGAGTTTGGTTTTATAAACCCACTTCACTCTAATTGGACTAGCTTGTGATGGCAAGCAAACCAACTCCCATGTATCATTTCTGTTGATTGCTTCCATTTGAGCCGCCATGGCTTTTCTCCACTTCTCCTCTTGTTTAGTTTCCTCATAATTGCTTGGATCAGCCCCTGATCGCGACTTTCTATGTCTAACAAATCTAACTGCAAGTGCACAGTCTATCGCGTAGTAATAATAGATATCGATCCCATAGGGACTCGTAATCAATCTAGTATTATCGGGTGTTACGGTGTTTAGCTAGGTCGGTTTGGTTTCAAGTTGAATAATGCCAGAATAGATGCATAAACTAAAGGGAACTAAAGCTTTTACTTAAGATATGAATTTATGAATCGATATGCAAT